CAATATTTCTATCAAATGCATGCTTGCATGACCAAGTTTCTTATGCCATAACCATGGATCATCAGATATAGATGTTAAGCAAATATGACCATCTATCTTTTCAAAACCATCAAGGATATAAACATTTCTATACCTTTTTCCTGGGAGGACTGTTTTACTTGTCTCGTCTTCAATAACACAACCTGTTTTCTTAAAATTTACCTCATATTCTGAGTCACATAGTTGACTTATGCTCAGGAGATTGTAGTTGAGTCCATCGACGAGATAAACTTCAGTGATGTCACAGTTGTTATTGAAGGGAATTGTTCTAGTGCCAATTATCTTTCCCTTTGAGTCATCCCAAAATTTAACGCTTCCTCCATCAATTTTTGTAACTTCTTTGAACAGGTTTTTATCACCTGTCATGTGACTGGAACATGCACTATTTAGTACCATTTTCCTTTGCGGCTTATTTTGTAGTGTTCCTGCAAAACATAGTGATTACTTTCTTTTAGGTACCTAAGCTTGCTTGGGTCCTGGAGGGTTAGTGTTACTAGCTTCAGAATTGTTTTTTGGTTTCCAAACCCATCCTGAAATATTTGCTTTACGAAAGCGACAAAACGAATATTTATGTCCACTTTTGTTATAGTAGTGACACGTAACTCCTGACCCATTCTTAGGTCTTTCATTAGTGTTAGTACTAGTGGACTTTGTTCTAACTGGTCCTTTTCTAGTTGACTTGTAAGTCATCTGGTTTGACCTGACATAGCTGTGACTGGTGGATTTGCTCATGCCATTTAGTTGCATTTGTAATTCCCCAAAATTTTCTTGAAGTACTTCTTTTTCGATTTCACATACTTCATATTTGAGTTTCCAGTCTTTATCTTCTTTATTGAGTCTCTTAAGCTCATTCATCATTTTTTGAGATTCTTTCAAAGTTAAATCAAGAATATCATGCAATTCATTGCATCTTTCACAGTTATAAGATCTTGCCTCACTTGTTTCACCTCGTGCCATGAAACAATTCTAATTGTCATCTTTGCATTCATCATCTGAAGTATCCTCATCCGTCCAGCATCCTGAGGATTTGTTCATCTCATTTTCCAGAATCATCATGAAGCAAAGATTTGTTATCTTTTCGTGTTCTGAACTGTCTTCATCACTCCAACTTCCAAAGGATTTGTTCTTGTTAAAGCCTCTAGAAATTTTTCTTTTTAGATCTGGGCACTCAGCTTGAATGTGTCCAAATCTTTCACACTCATAGCATTTTCCATCATTCTTATCCTGTTTATTGTATTGCCTGGATCACCTAGGTGGAATTCTTCCTCTTTTTGTATTTCTGAATCTTCTCATTAAGCCATCCATGTTTATTTATATCATAGCAATCTCTTCTTGTAGAGCTTCAGGATCATTATCGATTTCATTTTCATCTATTTCAGTTGAGGCCTTGAATGCGACTGTTTTCTTTTTTTCTTCTTAACTAGTCTTTTTGAGATGTGTCTTTTCAAAGGATATGAGTTCTCCTCGTAATTCATCATAGGATAACTTCTTTAGATCCTGAGATTCAAGTATGACTACTTTGGTCTGCCAAGTAGTTGGTAGGCTTCTGAGAATTTTTCTGACTTGATCACCACTCGTATATGGTTTGCCAAATTCTTTTAGATCGCTAATTATTTTGCTGAATCTGGAAAACATCTCTTCAATAGACTCTCCTTCTTTCATTGAAAAGAGTTCGTAATCATGGACCAACATGTTGATATGTGTTTCCTTTACTTTGCTAGTTCCTTCGTATGTAACCTCAAGCTTGTCCCACATTTCTTTAGCTGTGTCACAACTAGAAATTTTCTCATACTTTTCACCACTTATGGCATTATAAAGCAGGTTTCTCGCTTTATTGTTAACTTGTACCATTTCCATTTGCTCTTTTGGTTATGAGTCTATATCTTCAGGATCAGCAAGTGGTGGAGTAGCAGCTGGCAGGGGATAGTTCCCCTTTTTGATGACTCTCCAAACTTTAACATCATATGCCTTAACATAGATCTCCATGCGCACTTTCGAGTGAGAGAAATGTTGTCTATTGAAGTATGGTGGCCTAATTTGTGAAGTTCCTTCCTGGAAGAGAGCTCCTATGATAACTTGATTTGCCATGATCTTTTTTCACAAGCTGTTAAGCAAAAGAAAAATGTGAGCCTTGCTCTGATACCAATTGAAAGTACAAGAGGGAGGGGGGTGAATTGTATTCTTTTAAACTTAATATCTATTAGTTGATCAGTTTTTCAATTAGTCGACTAAATGTAATAAACTAACAGTCGTAATAGCAGAATATAAGAAGCTGAAAGTAAATGCAGAAATTAAAGATACCGGAATTTTTATATTGGTTCGGATTCAATGTGAATCCTAATCTAGTCCACTTTGGGTTGAAAGGGAGTTCTCTTTAGTGAATGTTTTTCTTCGAGTACAATGGAAATGACGTGATAGCTCAGTTCCTAGATCACTCGCCTCTTTTGGTACAATGTCTCACCAGTATTGTTCTCTCTTTCTTCTCTAACTTGTTACAAGTTGGTCTTAGAGAGCTACAATGTTTGTTTGCAATATAACAAAGAGAGGGTGTTTGGTTTGATCAAAGTATATTTGTCTAAGCCTTAAGGATGTGTATATATACTTTGTATGAGGCCGTTTGTTGAAGAAATTTGACAACCCAAGAGATTTGATCCTTGGAAAGTGATTGATTATTTCCAAGAATAATGTTATTTGCCGTTGCTCTTCCTTGATGCGAGGGCATTGATAGCTTTCCTTCTACAGATCTTGATGAGTGAGTTTTACTCCTTGATTATTGATCCTTCCGAAATTAGCAGCTTGTCGTTGCTCTTCCTCATTGATAGCTTTCCTTCTACAGGCTTTGATAACGCGAGTTTTACTCCTTGATTATTGCTCTTTCTGAAAATAGCAGCTTGATTGATTATCTAGCAAGATCTTCGGTTGCTTCTTTTCCATTTAAATCAATCTCTGATTGATTCTGAATCTCCAGATGGTTAATTGATTCCTTCTTGATTCCTTCAATCTTGGATACTTTCCTGCCTCTTGATTCCTTCAATCTTTCCTTGAGTTCTTGCACAGATATATTATTTGCATCATTAAAATCAAATCTAACCTCTTTATCTAGTGGTATGGCGAATCTCTTTATTTGGAGAAGCTATCTCTATCATCTATCTATTTGAATGAAGACATGCTTCAAACTCTACTCACTAATTGTCCATTGATTGTCAGTTTCGTCATTGATAGTTGTTATTGGGCTGGATAAGAACGAGCTGCGGAATCTTCAAAAGATCAGGTCAGTTTCCATAACAAAAAAGCAGTAGAAAACGTATTAAATTCATAGCACCAACTCTTGAACACTTTTCATATTATCAGTTGTCTGTGAAAAAATTAGATATTGTTGAATGTAAGAATTTGAAATCTTTAGAACTATCATTTGTGACTCTATCTGGTGGTTTTCTCGAGCACCTTATCTCTGGATTCCAATTCCTTGAGTGTCTGATAATAGTTTGCCTTGGTAAAGGGTCGGAAAGGTTTAACATTTTGAGTCGATCTCTAAGGGTATTGAAGATTGAGGATTGTGAGGCTGTAGGAGAAATTGATGCTCCAAATTTGGAATCAGTTGAGTATATTGGAGATCAAATTCCTAGGCTCAAAATTGCAAAAACGTCAAGCCAATTGAAGCACTCACAGATTGTTCTTCACTGCCAGAACAATTAAATGTTGTGTGGTTTTATGAGTTGAGAAGGTTCCTGTCAAACTCGACCTCTTGGTCTCAAGTTTCTCTTCATTATTCCAAATGCCATGAGATAAATAGGAAAGAATTAAAACGGCATGATAGAGTTGCTCACCCCCAAGTGTACGTTTTAGATGTACATATAAAATCATCTGGGAATTGCCCAACTTTAATTTTGTGGTTATTTGCCATGGAGTTGTCATCCCAAGAGACTCAACCTATCATCAACGGTCAAAATAATTATATGTTTCATCGATCGTTTAACGTATTTGAAGAATTCAATTGATTCTACTTCTCATGAAAGCAAGTCTTTGCGTAGTCAATTAAAAGAAGTAAAAGCCTACACATTTGATTGAAAAAGTCAGCCTGTGGAGCTCAGAAGTGGAGAGCTGGCAATAAGGAGCCTTACGGGAAGGGAGAGCGTTTATTTTTTATTAGATTGGTGTTGCAGTTAATTTGTCTTTGTTTCAAATTGAAATGCACTTATTCATTTCTAAAGTTTATTAATCTGTTTTTCAGGATACATTATTTTTTTACATCTAGCTTTACATTCTTGCACTTTTCTAATTATCTATCCGGACTATCTGGCCCATAGTTAAGTAGTCTGTTAAATATTGATAATTGTGCTGAACTTGAATCATAGGATTCTTTATTCTGAGCAGTCTCAAGATTCCAATATGGATTTGAAGGTTTGTGCTGATCTTGACTCTTTATGTTTTTTGTAGACATCTTTTTCTTATTTCATAGGAGTATAGAACTGCACTTTATTTTTTCTTTTCTCATGTCGCACTAAATAGAGATCCTGAACCAGATTCCACAGCTTTTAGAGATAAGCAGAAGTTGTGATACTTCAATCACAGCCACTTAGTACTCAACCTATTGCATTAAGATGATTAGATGTAATTATAGCATGATATAAACCAATGAACTCTGTTTTACTTCGCATGGAATATTGCTGTGGCTGCAAATCACTTGGCTTGATTTTATTAACTTCTCAAATAGTAATAGTTAAACGAACTGATCAATTTCTAAATTTATTAACGTTTTTATTGATCGAGACTAATTCCAAGTCCAAGGTTTTTTAGGATTATCAAAAAGCCTTTAAATTATTAACACCGAACTTGGCTTAATTAAATCCAAGTCCAAGATTTTTTAGGTATCCTTTACTTTTCCTTGTAGTTGTAGGAGTGTGACTTTCTTATATAAAAGACGCAATCTATAAACTCTGACGGAATTTGTAGCAACGAAGATGGAGAGCGTAACAGCAGACATATTGCCTGATTGCCTTATTCAAAAAATACTCTCTTATTGTTCTTTTAAAAGAGCAGCCAAGATGAGTATTCTCTCCAAAACATGGCTACAGGCTTGGTTAACTCTTCCCAACATAAAATTCAGAGCTCGTTATTATAAGAACGCGGAAATGACGGACACAATCCTGGAGAGATACAGGGACAACAACATCGCTATTGACAAGTTTGAATTTTTAAATTGTTTAGAATCTCATTCTCGTGAAGTTTTTTTCTCTTCGATTGTTAAGTGGCTTGATATCGCTCTTCAGAATGGTGTAAAAGATATAGTGTATAAAGATCCTAGACGCTTGGTTAGATCATACCCTTTGCCTATATTCAAATCTTGGCAGCAAAATCTTTAAGAGAATTGGTTCTGGAGGGTTGTGATCTGATGTTGCGGGGTTCATTATTTAGAGGTGTGACAAACTGCATTTCCTTGAGAAAGCTCTCACTATCGTATGTACGGTTGGACGACACCATGCTTCAGACTCTACTTAATAGTTGTCCTTTGATTGACACTTTCATCCTTGAGTATTGTCCGGGTTTGGAAAAGATTGAGCTGTTGAATCTTCTAAAGATCAAGTCAGTTTCTATTAAGACACGTGGAAACCAGCGTGTTAAAATTCAAGCACCAACTCTTGAACGCTTGTTTTGTTGTAGTGCTTTAGGAGAGTCTCCTATGTTGGAAGTTGCCGAATGTCAGAATCTGAAATCTTTAGAGCTTTCAGGTATGAATATACCTGATGGATTTCTCCAGCACCTTTTTTCTGTGAGGTCCACACCTCACCAACCAAAAGAAAAAGATTGAAAAAATTAGACAAAATAGGCTGCTTGAATGCATATGGGCGGCTGAAGATTTCAATTTGCAATTTGCAATGCAATAAGTTAAATTTATGTTGCTAAGTGGTTGGCAAATTTGGCTATAAATAAAGATGATTCCCTCTCAGTTAAGACACACCAAAATAACGAGAGAAGCATAAAGTAGTGAGAGTAATCCACAGATTGTGGTCTGTGAGATAACTAGTGAGTGGTAGTTATATTGTAGTGAGGTGTTTTAAATAAAGAGTGTTATTTCTTTCAAAGTTGTAGTAGTCTCTTGACACTACTGAGTTGTAATATTATAGTGGTAATATTGCTCCACTCGGGTATTGTATTTTATCCCGCTAAAATATTTGGTGTCATTGTTACTCTCTTGTGTTATTATTATTTGGTGTGGATATTATTCCTGGGCGAGATTATTTATTTTATCCCAACATTTTCTAGCTCCCAATCCCTTGAGTGTTTAATATTAATTAGATAATGTCTGTAAAGGGTTGGAAAGGTTTAAGATTTGCGGGAGCCAATCCCTAAGGATCATGAAGATTAAGGATCGCGAGGACATAGCTGGAGAGAATGATGCTTCAAATTTGGTATCACTTGAGTATATGGGAGATCAAATTCCTCAGCTTAAAATTGCAAAAGAGTCAAGCCAATTGAAGAGCTCAGATATCCGTCTTGATTTGTGGTCCGGCAACAACTTAAATGCTTCATGGTTCCATAAATTGAGGATATTCCTATTAAGGTCAATCTCTTCGTCTCAAGTTTTCCTTCATTTTCACAAGTGCAATGAGATTAAAATGAAAGATTTGCGACTGCACCACAGAGTCGCTACCCCCCAAGTGAGCGTTTTAAATGTGTATATAAATTCACGTAGAGCAATCCCAACTTTTGTGGATGCTTTGCTATGGAGTTGTCATCCTAGGAAACTCATCCTAACCTCAACTTCTGAAATGGTTACATGTTTCATCGATCGTTTAATGTATATGAAGAACTGCAAGCCCTTGCATAGCCAATTAAAAGAAGTACAAGCCTATAAATTTGAATCTGAGCCGCTTACGGAGAAGGAGAAAGTTTATTTTTTATTAGATTGGTGATGCAGTTAATTTATTAAATATGACTAAGTTGGCACAAAGATGCTATGTTTGGTGTTCTGTTTTCTCTCCAGTTCATATGAATTTACTTTATTTTCTTTTTAACTTATGGATGCTGTCAACCATCTTTGGATTAAGTAAAAAGTCTTAACTTCTTCTAGATTGATTAGACATGGATTTGAAGATTCTTCTATTAATCTTGATATTCAGAAATCAGCAGAAAATATTCATTCAGTTACGAGCTGCAATACTTGATCAATCCTTGACTAATTTGGATTTGGGAGCTTGTTAATATTTCACATAACAAGCAAGATATCCTAATATATAAATCAAAGTGCGACTCTTAACGTTTTTAAAAATAAAGTACTAAAAATTTACTCAGCCACAACGATACCTAAGAGGAATCGAGATGATTTACATATCTATTCTTTGAATTCACAGAATATACCATTATCTCTTTCAAGCGCTGAACCCGATCCAATTCGTTTCGTAGTCGTAGCTTATTGGCCTGAGATTCTCCATTGAGTGATTCGTACTTACGACTTGGATTATCTGTTTTGTGGGGAAATAAACATGGGATGTGAAACTATTTTCTTGTCAACTTAAAATTCATAGTTTGTCATTATAAGGACACGAAAATAGTGGACTCAATCCCGGATAGATACAGGGACAACAAAATCCCTATTGAAAGTTTGAATATTCAAATAGTTTAGAATCTTAGGGTGTGTTTGGTATAACGGAAAATATTTTCCGTGAAAAATGTTTTATTGGAAAACAAGTAGTAATCTTATTCATTTTTCGGTGTTTGGTACGCAACTTAAGAAAAATAACTTCTCAAGAATATTCATAAATAACTTAGATACAATAAACATGAAGTCATAAACTTTCAACTCAACAACCTTCCGAACCCACAAATTTCACAAACTTCCGAATCGATAAACTTTCGAAACCGCGAACTTTCGAACCTGTAAACTTTATAATTTCTAAACCCGTAACCTTCCAAACACATAAACCTCCGAACTCATAACTTTGGAACTTGTAAAATTTCGAACTTGTAAATAAAAAATAAAAAAAATTACAAAAAAGCAATTTAAAAAACNCAAATTTCACAAACTTCCGAATCGATAAACTTTCGAAACCGCGAACTTTCGAACCTGTAAACTTTATAATTTCTAAACCCGTAACCTTCCAAACACATAAACCTCCGAACTCATAACTTTGGAACTTGTAAAATTTCGAACTTGTAAATAAAAAATAAAATAAAAAAAATAGAAAAAATTACAAAAAAGCAATTTAAAAAACAGAAACAGAAATTCAAAAAATAGAAATTTAAAATTAAAAAAAAAAAAAAGTAAAAAAAAAATTGTGCGGGGTTGGGGAGGTGACGTAGTAAAATTCCCGAAATTAAAATTGCAAGAGAGTCCAGCCAATTGAAGCACTCAAAAATCAGTCTGTATTTCATCAATTTTAATGCTACTACATGGTTTTGTAAGTTGAGGAGGTTCCTATCAAATTTGACCACTTGGTCTCAAGTTTCCCTTGTTTTTTACAAATGCATTGAGATTAACATGATAGATTTGCAACTGCCCATGATGAAGTGCCCAAAAGTTGTGGATGCTTTGTTATGGTGTTGTCATCCTAGGAGACTCAACCTATACTCAACTGCTGAAACGATTGTATGTTTCATTGATCGTTTAATGTATATGAAGAATTTGAGTCATTCTACTTCTCAAGGAAGAAAGCGTTGGCACAGTCCATTAAAAGATGTAAAAGCATACAAATTTGATTGGGAGAATTATGTGTGGCATCCTGTGGAACTCGAAAATTGGGAGCTTACAACAAGGAACATTAAAGAGAAGGAGAAATATTATTTTTTATAGATTGGTGATGCAGTTTACTCTATTGAAAATTGAATGCAGTTATTCGTTTATAAAGTTCATTAATTTATATTTTTCAGGTTGGATCCTAAATACTTAAGAACTTAAAATTTAATTTTTCCCATCAGTTTGTTTTCTTGAATTAAGTCTTTTGTCAAATATGATTAAGTTGGAAATATCAAGCCACAAAAACACTATGGTTTTCTGTTTTCTCAGAAAATAAAAAACTGAGAACATTTGAGTCTACAGTGTCAGTGACCAACTCCTAATTATAGCAGCTGTTCTTTGTATGCATGCCTGGAAAATTCTTTGGTTTCTCTCCTGCCAGAAATAGTATATGCAACCAGCCACTGTCATGGTATATATATCTGCAACATCACTTTTTCCTTTAAGATTGTATTGAAATTGATTAGTTATATTGTGTAACTTGGTAAGAGGTAAGTACTATTTTGGTCAATAGCTATTCAAACTTCCTCAAGAAAATTTGGTGAAACAAGACTTTCAACGTACAGACTAAAGTTGTTTTCAAACTCATAACGTTCCATTTTCGAACCACGGATGAAAGTATTATTTCTTGAATTATACCACTCTAAACTTGAACGATAGTGCAGCAAAATTTCGCTGTTCTGGAAGAAGAAAATTGGCCAAGCTTTATAGAATTTCAAGGGGATCGAAGTCACTTTGGTCCATGACTCTGTAAGTCCATACTCCTTCATTACCCACACATCCATCGTGATCTTATGATGACAAAATGAACATAGATTACCCCCTAAAGTTCCTAAGTCCCTATACAAACCCAGTCACATTAGGGTTTCGTAAACCTTCGACCATGGCGACTGCGACAATCGAAGTATTGCCTGATTGCCTCGTTCACAAAATAGTCTCTTGCCTTAGCTTTAAAGAAGCAGCCAAGATGAGTATTCTCTCCAAAACATGGTTACAAGGCTGGATGACTCATCAGAACTTGGAATTGAAAGCTCAAAACTTCAATGTGATGAAAATACTGGATAAAATCATGGAAAGATACAGGGACAGCAAAATCCATATAGAAAAGTTTGAATTTTTAAAAGCTTTTTCAATCTCTGGTTTTGTCGAACTTTTCCCTCTGATTGATAAGTGGCTTGACATCGCGCTTCATAATGGTGTAAAAGATTTAGCGTATATAGATGTTAGATCTTCATTATATCCCTTGCCTATTTTCACAATCTTGGCAGCAAAATCTTTAAGAGAATTGGTTTTGTGGGGTTGTGATTTGATAGGCGGCTCATTATCTGGTGGTTTGGCCAACTGCTATTCGTTGAGAAAGCTTTCTCTATGTGACGTTTGTTTAAACGATAATATGCTTCAGACTCTACTCACTAGTTGTCCCTTGATCGTCAATTTCTTCATTGAGCATTGTACTGGGTTACAAAAGACTGAGCTACGGAATCTTCAAAGGGTCAAGTCAGTTTCCATTAAGACACTTAGAAAGCAATGTGCTAAAATTCAAGCACCATCTCTTGAACACTTGTTGAAGAATTGGATATTATTGAGTGGTAGAATCTGAAATCTTTAAAACTATCAGGTATGACGATATCTAATGAATTTTTCGAGACCCTTTTCTCTAAATCTCAATTGCTTGAGACTTTGATATTAGTTAACGTTTTTAATGGGTTGGAAAGGTTTAACATTTGCGAGAGTGAATCCCTACAGGGTTGAAGATTAAGGCTTGGGAGAGAATAGGGGAGATTGATGCTCCAAATTTAGTATCACTTGAGTATACGGGAGATCAAATTCCTGAACTTAAAATTACAAGAGAGTCGAGCCAATTGAAGCACTGAAAAATCATTTTTTACTGTGACAACAGTTTTAATGCTTCATGGTTTTATAAGTTGGGGAAGTTTCTATCAAATTCGACTTCTTGATCTCAGGTTTCACTTATCTTTTTCAAATGCAAGGAAATCAACATGAAAAAATTTAAGGTGCATCATAGAGTTGTTGTCCCCCAAGTGGACATTTTAGATGTAGATATAGTGTCGTCCAGCGGGGGCCCAATAGTTGTAGATGCTTTGCTATGGTGTTATCATCCTAGAAGAATTAACCTATCATCAACTGCCGTTATGATTATATGTTTTATTGATCGTTTAATGTATATGAAAAATTTGAGTCATTCTACTTCTCATGGAAGCAAGTCTTGGCACAATCCATTAAAAGAAGTAAAAGCATACAAACTTGATTGGGAGAATGATGTGTGGCATACTGTGGAACTCGAAAATTGGGAGCTTACAACACGGAACCTTCAAGAGAAGGTGAAATATTATTTTTTATTAGATTGGTGATGCAGTTTATTCTATTGCAAATTGAATGCAGTTATTCAATTTTTAAAGTTCATTAATTTGTAATTTTCAGGTTGGATCCTAAATACGTAAGAACTTCAAATTTAAGTTTTCCCATTAGTTTGTTTTCTTGAAATAAGTCTTTCGTCAAATATGATTAAGTTCATTAATTTTCTGTTTTCTCTGTAGTTCATGTGAATTTGTTGTACATTGTGATTCTTCAGATATATGTGTAGAACGTGCGGAATACTTAACAAAAATAATAACGACAGTAGACAAACAACATAATAAAGGAACAAACAACACCAATATTTTCAGTGGAAACTCTTCTCAACTCTCGAGCATCTTAAAATCCTTCAAGAAAAGTGGTTCTATACCAGTTACGGGTAAATTTCACCATTTATTAGTGACGTAGCTTAGGAAAAGTTGTCTCTGTATAACCTATAGGTCATTGGTCAAAGCTGTGGAAGCAACCAATAAGTCTTGCATTAAGGTATAAATTGTCTATATCACACCCCTTGGGATGCAGCCTTTCCTCAGAACATGCGTGAATGCGGGATGCTTTATGCACCAGATTGTGTTTTTATTAGTGATGTAGCTCAAGTTTTTATTTTATGTATGTGTATATAAGTGTGCCAAATTTACATAATTTTCCTTTTAGATTCATTAAAAATTTAAAGATAGACCAGTGTTGTCAACGGCGAAAAGCATGAAAAAGAGTTTAAGGTCTATTAGGGTTTTAAGCGCAATTAAAGTGTGGGGTTTGGTAAAAAAGCAAGAACAAAAAACGTAACAAGTTCATTCATAAGCTTAAGGGGCAAAAACTTAGTGGACCATGATATTTGTAAGGCTATAAAAGTTTCTCATTAAGGGTAAAGTGGGTAGAATGAAAATTTTAAAGTTAAATTGTTTCTAAATATAGAAATATATCTTTTTTTAACGGACTAATAAGAAAAATGTGTTATCTAAATTAAAACAGAGAGAGTAATATCTTTTAGCCAATTATATTTTATTTTGTACCACTCTATTCAAGATAGAAGTTACTAGCAACGAGGTGTGGGCGTTAGTGCGTTGCCTACCCTAAAGCGCAGCCTAAGTGAGGCGAATCACATTCTCTGAGCTTTTTTGAGCTTCAGGGCTTAAGCGCACCTCAAATGAGCTTTTGACAACACTAAAATAAATAAGATCTTTTCTTGAAACTATATACAGGGATGTGTACTATAATAGTGCCCTTTCTCACAATTCATTTTTGCCTGAACCGATGCAAGAAATGATTATCAAGATTTTAAGCACTGAAAAGAGGTGACTCAAACAAAGAGTAACCCTATAGATTAACACAATACCGTTAAGAATTGATAATAGAAACCAAAAAGAAAGTCCAGTAAAAACTGTTGAAACAGAGGAGTCCAGTTGCCTGCCTCTGGCTCAAATTATCCACTGATTACTTCATGAGACATTTTTGCTCTCTTTCAAATTCCTCCACAAATTTGGCGAAACAAGGCTTTTACCATAAGGATTAACTTGACTTCGAACATTAAAATCGACAGTATGCTTGAAACTACCATGCTTTGAATATACAACACTAAACTTGGATTCTTCTATAGTAAAATTTCGTCATTCTGAAAGATGAAAATTGGCCAAGAAGGAATACAAAAGGGACCGAAAACACAATAGTCCATGACTCTGCAAGCAGGGGCGGACCTACGTTGGGGATGGGTCACCGGAACTCGTTAGCTTCGGAAAAAAGAGTGCATATATATATATACACACACACACAAAAGGGACCGAAACCACCATAGTCCATGACTCTGCAAGCAGGGGCGGACCTACTGTCACGTCCCAAACTACCCCCTAGACGTGATTGACACCCAGCTAACACCACCTGCCAAGCAAACCTTTTTTCTCTAATGTTTAACCATTTACACAAACATTGGGAGAAAAAATACATGCCTAATTGTATTATTAATAATTAAAGAGGAAACGATTATCGCCCAATACCTTAATCAATTGATAGGAAAACCAACAATCACTCAAATAATAAAACTCTAGCCCAAATCCCACACTAGAACCATGGAGCATCTAACAGAGTAATATGAGTTTTATTGACGGGTATGCAAACCCCAAAGAAAAAGAAATAACTAACACGAATTAGGTAAGTCTGAAACGAAAGCCTTCACGAACAATGCGGTGGCTCACCTCAGCAATAGGATCCACTCGAACAAACTTGTCAGCCACTAGCTCTATCTCCCGCAACGGTATCTGCATAGAGATGCAGTTAAGGAGTGAGTTATACGTAAATATAACCCAGTAAGATCCTCGACCCACCATTTTAAATACCTCTGGAACAAGTGTTAGAAAATACAAACACACCACAACACGAATGATATAGCAAATATGATAATTATACAATAACTCAATATATGTGCATCAACAGAGTTAATAAGAATTAACCAACAAGAGTACCCACTAAGAACTTGTCATAATTGCAGTGAAAGAAATTTACCAACACATCTACGAGTCCACAACGGCACCACAATGCCTTAAATATGTAACAGAGCATATACAATGATCACTGAAGCATACACAATGCCCCAAATATATCAAGAAGCATACACAATGCTTGGGTGATGTATAAAGGCATACACAATACCCCAACATCATGGCGCACAGCTGTATCAAACTCAACATCATGGCGCACAGCCGTATCAAACTCAACATCATGGCGCACAGCCATATCAAACTCAACATCATGGATAACAACCGAATCAAACTATAAAACTCAACTCATGGCGCACAGTCGTATCAAACTATCAAACAACGTATAAAATAATATTTTTTCATAAAATAATATATTTGCGGTTAGTCTAAGACCACCGACTCTGCCAAGCGCACGTTTGTCCCAACACATGGACTGGGCAGAAAAAATATATTTTTAAAACGGATTTTAGAAAAGCAAATATAAAAGCATAAAGTCTCACTTACCTCGCTAAATGACATGTACCCCGACCTTTGCAACGTCCGAAACATCAACTAAACAGCCTTCATGTCTTCTCTCTATCCAAAATACTTAATAACATGCCCGAATTAATTCAGGCGAACCATGTTCATAATATTTGGACAAGTCAAAGTTAAAGTCAATTATAGGTCAACTAATCAAATCCTGAAGTAAATCACAAAAAAAATTGATTACGTAAAATCTTACGAGTTCAAATACATGTTTAAGTTTCAATCTTATTGCCAACTGACGGGTCAATTCTCATTTTTCCTAAATTTTAAGCTTGTAAGTTTACATCATTACTATATACCTCAATATCATATTCTTAAAAGTATAAACATATCATTGACTCTATTCAATATTAAATTACAATTCCCCATAAAGTAGTACATATAGAGTAGTATAATACTTCTAGAATAAAAATTAAAATATATTAATACTAAAGATATCAAACAGTTGTTATAAATATATTATATTATGCATGTTCATTTAGTACTTCGTTGTAAATAAGTTTCCTGAAAAAGTTTATCCATATGGGACTCCGCTGTAAATAAATAGAGTACTAAGTTTCCTGAAGAAGCTTCTCACTTTGGTACCCGGTTATGGATAAACATTATCCCCGGTAGAAGATTATCCATATCGGGTACAATGAGCTTATCCTTTCAGTACTCCGTTATAAATAATCATTACTCCTAGTAGAAGATTATCTATACTGGATACAATGAACTTATCCATTCAGTACTCCCTTATGGATAAACATTGCTCTTAGTAGAAGATTATCCATATCTGGTATAATAGCAGCTTACACAACAGCTTGTAGTAGCAGTTTACATATCAACTTCCTTTCTTCTATAAATAAAAGAGATTTCAGTTCATTATGTACAACAGTTTGAATTAGAATAATATATCAGTTTCTCTCTCTATTTGTCTTTACTTTGCAGTCTTTATTTTATAACACATTATCAGTACGAGACTTTGCCATCTCGAGCAAATATTTTGAAAGTATCTGAGGTAAGAACTTTCTTTTCCTAAATAATATCAAATCTTTCTAGACTTGATAACATAGTCCTGGATATATCGGGCAAAAACTACATGTCNTTTATTTTATAACACGTTATCAGCACGAAGCTCTACCATCTCGAGCAAATATTTTGAAAGTATCTGAGGTAAGAACTTTCTTTTCCTAAATAATATCAAATCTTTCTAGACTTGATAACATAGTCCTGGATATATCGG